ATTTATATTTGTAATGGTTCATTTTGATTTAATAAATAAACGACACCAACCTGATTGAGGGAAAAAAAAAAAAATTATTTCTATTTTGTAAAAAAACTCTTTCCACTAATCCTTTTGCCAACCCAAAAACAGATATTCTCAAAAGACTTTTTGTCTTTATGATAATAAAGTCTATACATTTTCCTTAACAACACTGGTTCCTTAATTAGCAGAGCGAGCAGAAGCTATCACTTGTTTTATTTATTTTTTTTCAAAACACTTTTCTTGTTTATTTTAATAACCAAATACAAGAAACCTACTTAAAAGGTTTATGGCAAGAACACTTTTCTAGGAAGAAAACTGACAAGAAAAAATACTTTCCAAAGACTTCCAAAAGATTCAAGAATCCAGAAAAACAAGAACAAAGAAGTCTTCAGTTTTTCTATTATCTCTTTGGCTTCTTTCTTCTTTTTTCTCAAGTGTGCTTCCTTTTTTCTGATTTTTTTGAGAAATTTTGCCTACCTCAGTTTAATCCTGAATTTTTGATTACACCAGATTTCCTGAAAAATAATTGGTTAAGACCATAAATTAGTTGATCATGTCAACCTCAGAAAAAGTAAACAAGACACATACTCCTCACATGTTTCCAGTTGCACAACACCAAACCGATAATGTGATTGATTCCTGAAAGAGTTGGACAGTTTTTTGATTAAAGGAGTAGTATGGGAGTATTAGGTGAATTAGAAGTTGTGAATAGAAGAGGAGCGACCCCTTTTTGTTCCTATTCTTTTATTTTCTTTTTTCTTCCCTATTTTTTCTTGAGGACAGGAAGTAGCAACAAGGTCTAGGTCCTATCCCAATCTGGTAACAAGTTGAAGTATCAATATTTATCTCAAAAATAGTTGGAGAAAGAGATTTTGAAACTATTTACCAGTTGAGTGAAGCAATAATTTTAGAAGACATAGCTTGGGAGAGCAATCAACAATAGAAAATTAATATCCTTTCTGGTTAGAAGTTTTCAAGCATAAAGTTTCAAGAAATACTCTTTTGGAAGTACTCTTAAATATTCTTGGACATCGATTACTCCAATAGAAATTAAACAGTCTAACTGGCCACAGGTGATGAGAAGTGGGAAACCATGAGGGACTTGGGTTTTTAAGTTTACTGAGATAACCTCTTCAATGATAGTTAGAATAGATGATAACTTTTTTTCTTTTTTTTTTGTCAAAAATTCCTTTTTTTGTTTCTTTTTTTCCTTGCATAGTTTCTACAAGAGGGGGGTGACACAATTTGGATTTATGGTTGTATCTGTAGAAATGATCTGTAGGTTTGGATCCTATTGGAAGTTTGGGATCTTAATTCCATTCTTTAGGGGAACAATATATCACTCCATAAATCACATCTAGAGGCTTTGGCTAAAGACAAGTAAGTTGAATCAGGAAAATTTGTACTTTGTATGTATTCTCGTATGTGTAATGGTTCCTTGTGATTTAATAAATAAACGACACCAACCTGATTGCAGGATTAAAAAAAAAAAATTATTTCTATTTTGTAATGTAACTAAAATCAATTATTTTTTTAAAAAAATTTTAATAATATATTTTAAGAACTTTATTAAGTAAACTTGTTTTTTATATTCTTAAATATACTAATATATATTTTTATTTTATTTTATCAATTAGTTATTAAAATATTATAAAAATATATATATATATATAGTGCAAGTATTTTTGTTCATCATTATATTTATTTATTTTGCTTCTAATCAGATTACAATTTGCTGTGTTTATTAATTTTTCATAAAATAAAACAAAAATATATTGAATTCTAGAGCTTTATACTAGAGCTAAACTATATATAATATAGAATACCTATCAACAAGTTATTTTTGATTTGTATATGATTTTTAAATTCTTAATATTAAGACTATCATGTCGCTTATATAATTTAGCTATTTACTAACTATTTTACTACAAGAGAGTTAGTTCATTAAGTTATAATTATATGATATTAACTATTTTAGATTTTTCAAATATTAACTTTCTAAGTATAATCATAGAAAATTATAAAATCACTTCTTTTTCAAGACCACTTATTGGCTTTGAGAAAAACTATAGTTAGCTACATTTAGATTATCACCTTAATACAAATATATGATTCTAAGAGATAAAAAAAATTTTATTTTTTTAAGAAAATAAAAGGAATTGAAAAGTTTGTTTTAATAAATAAAAACTCTTCAATATCAATTTCAGTCCATTGGAATAAATCCTTTATTATTACTTGCAACTAGGCAAACTATTTAATTTTCACTATTCCATTATTGACCAAGAATGTTTAAGGATACTTTTAAGAGAGTATTTCTTGAAACTTTATGTTCAAAGACTTTTAATCTTTAGAAAGGATTGGTATTTAATAGTGATTTCTTTTTTAGCCAAATCTTTAAGGATTTATAGCTTTATTCAACTAGTGGATAGTTTCAAGACTTCTTTTTTCAACCATTTTTAAGATAATTAATAATAGAAAAAGCTTGTTATTGAATTGGAATAAGATTTTTTTTAATTTTGAAAAGAAAAGAAACTAGTTCAAAAAGGAAGAAGAAAATACCATAACATTTTTTAACAAAAAAGACATCTCGTTGTCTTGTTCTTTTTATTGTATCCAATGACATTATTGGATTTTGTGTTGTGCGAGATAGGACATATAGAAGTTATATGTCTTGTTTACATTTCTTGTTACAATTAAATTAACCAGTCTAAAATTCGAGCCAATTATCATTCAGAGATTCCAGTATAATTAAAAATTCAGAATCAAATTAAAATAGACAAAATTTCTTAAAAAAAATTAGAAAAAAGTATACATGCTTAAGAAGATAAAAGAAAAACTTGAGAAAGATAAAAAAAGAGTTTCAAAAGTCAATAATAAATTTTTTTAGAATCTTGAATCTCTAAAGAAAAAAAGAAGTATATTTTTTTTACAAATTCTTTTTTCTAACAAAGTATTTTTGCTTTTGACTTTGTAAATTGGTTTTTCTTATATTTATTTACTGAAATATAAAAAATTTATATCAAAGAGAAAAGGAAACAAAAGGGAAGAGACTAGAGTTTTTAGATATTAATGTTGTTAAAAAAAGTGTATAGACTTTATTACAAAGAAATATAAAATTTCTTTGGAACATTTGTTTTTTGTGTTGGCAAGAGATTAGTAAAAAAAGTTTTTTTTAAGATTTTAATTATTTAGAATTTAAGATTTTTATTTATAATTAATTAATTATATTTAATATAATTAATTTATTAAAAAAATTTTTAGCAATTAAAATATTATTATTTAATAACTAAGATTTTTAATAATATTAGTTCAATATTTAACTTTACTATAAATTCATATAAGTAGATTATAATTTATATATTAAATTTATTATAAATTAATATTATTTCAATATTATTTCAATATTAGTTTGATATTTTTTAAAGTCTTATTAATAATATTTCTTTAATTTATATATATTTTTCTTAAAAATTATTTTTTATAAAAAGATATATAATATATAAAAAGAATTTTTTTTTTCAAAAAACAAATTTATTACTTTTTTCAAATAATAATAATATAATATATGTATAATATTATATTATATTATAACTTAACTATTTATTTTAAAGTAAAACAACAAAATCTTTATTAATATGCATATATTGAATATTATATTATTATATCAAATATTTTTTATAATACTAAACTATAATTAAATACCAAACTATTTATTATTTTTATAATTCAACAATATAATATATATTTTTTAAGTATATTATATTTTTCAAAAAAATTTATTTAACAAGTAAACATTCTATTATTAGTTTTAAATTATTTTAATATATGAATTCAACATATATAAAAACAAAAAATATTAATAAAATCAATTTGAGATATTCTTAAAATTTTTTTATCCAATTTTGGATTAGAACTGATTACAAAGTAAAAAAGAATACTGATTAAAATTAATTAAGATAAAATATAATCCAATTTGTATATTCAAATATAAATTGTATTAATAATAATTAAAATTGATTAAGATAGAATATAATATTTTTATATATTAAATAATATTTTTTGATAAATATTTTTTAAATTAAAAAATGATCAATAAATCAATACTTTAAATAATTACGATATATTAATAATGAATTAATAGTAATGAATTTTTAATTATGCATTAATTATTTCTTTTATTTTTATTGGGGGTTTTTTTTCAAAGAATCGATTCGAAACATTTCTATCTGCTATTATTCTAATAAGAATTTAGGAGAATGTATGAAGGATTACCGCTGTGACGTATTCAGCTGAAGAAGTTAAAACTCAGGAAAAATGTGGATAGTCTTTTTCCAACTTCTTTACGTCCAAATATACCAATAAACTGGATTGTATCAAGAAAAAAAGCACATTGACAAATGTATTTATATGGGTTATTGATAATTGATTGTTTGTAAATCTCATTTTTCTATTTTCAGTTGTCTTACGCTTAGTCACCATGGATGATGCAAATGTCATAAGTTTCAAATCTTATGTTTCGTTACATGTAAAAATGCAAGTAATTAATGAATTAAACAATATAATGAATAGATCGAAAACACCAACTACCCAGTCCTTGGGACCCAATCACCCATTTCCCAGGTCAACTGGAACCTGATAGTTTACAATGTGCGGATTAATTATGCAGTAATTCTCATTCTCTGAACGCATTTCTTGCTGTCCATTGGTCGGAAGTGAAGTTCAAAAAAAAAGGCGCAGTTATAATGCGATATAATTGGTTAATTTTCTTCGAGCTAGAAAGTATAAAAAGATGGGCCAGCCGATATATACCTTTCCATTTCAAATTACTTTTCGTTCAGATAACTTCTCAGCATGTCAGGAAAAGGAAATTGTAAGGTGAAAAGTAAGAGCAAAAGTAAGAAGTCTACTAGTACAAAGAAAAAAGTACAGCAACAAAAGGAGGTTGCTGTCGTGGAGTCAAACCACGACAGTGCTCAAGAACCTGACATAACGATAAAAGCTGAAGCTATAGAAACACCTAAGCAGAAAGTAATCAAGACCAACAAAAAAGGTGTTAAAAGGAAGACTGAGGAGCTCACTCCAGCGCAACCTGATTTCACCGTTCAAAAGTCAGTAGTTCGATCAACACAGATAACTCAAAACTTCAGGCCCGTTTCTTCTCGGCACGGATGCCTGCACCTTAAGGAATACAAAGAGAATAATCCTTATTATCTTGTTAATTATGAATCCCTTTGTGATTTATCAATGTATTGGCAAGAAAATGGAATGTCCACATCACATGAAAGCACTCGCAACGGTCACCAAAAGAGAAGGACAAGCGTTTCGGGCTGCTTGAGTTGCAAGGTTGCTGATAGTCTACTTCTCGCATGCCTGGATTGTATCTTTATAGGTTGCTGGTACAATCAAAAGCATGCCCGAAAACATTTTCATAAAACAAATCACACTTTCGCCGCACATCTAGAAAGATTACATATATTCTGCTTTAAATGCGATGACTTCGTTTATGATTTTGATTTTGAAAGAGCAAAAATCCTAGCAGAAGTACGAATAGCGGAAAATTCATCGAATACCAGAGAACCATGCAAAAAACGTGCTCGATATGTTTCATGGCAACCTACGCCTGAAGAGATTGACAAGATTATTAAAAATTCGACACCCATCCCTTGCTCCGGATTGCGAGGTCTATTTAACATGGGCGCTACGTGTTTCATGAATGCAATGTTACAGACATTTCTAACCAATCCTATCGTCAAAACCTACTTCTTATCCAACAAACACAACCGAGAGATATGTGACAATAAAGGATGCATGTGTTGTGAAATTGACAATCTTGTTCAGGAATTTCATTCCGGCGAAAAGAAACCATACCCGCCATGCAACTTCCTTCATGCTATGTGGCTTAGCTCAAAGGAACTCGCTGGATATGCCGAACAGGATGCACACGAATTTTTCATAGCTGCGATTAGTAAGATGCACAAAGATTCCAAAGAAAAATATGATGGTGATCTCAATAGTATTGATGTCAAATGCGAGTGCATCATGCATAAAACCTTCGGAGGTCATTTTCAAACCCGAGTTAAATGCAAAAATTGTAATTACGTAAATATAACACACGAACATTCGATCGAGTGGCAACTCCACCTTAGTGGTAATGAAGTTGTCTCAAAGAAAAAGAATGGACACTCCAAGGCAGCGGTCGGAAACATCAACGGCAATACTAAAGAATATAAAAATTCCCTTTATGACTGTCTTGAAAGATGCACTGCGGAAGAACAACTCCCAGAGTTTATATGTGATGACTGCCATACGAAAGCATGTAGTTCAAAACGAATCAGCTGCAAGAAATTGCCACCTGTTTTGGCCTTTATTGTCGAACGCTTTCAAAATCCAACCATGAAAAACGAAGCGGAATTCGAATTTCCGGAAGAAATCGACATGGCCAGATGGACAAGCCGAGCACAAGAGGTTCTTGTTGGAGGTGGATCGTTGAAAGATTTTCCGGAGTACAAGTATAAGTTGATCTCCGTTGTGAACCACGACGGAAAGATAAACACTGGTCACTATACTGCATATTGCAGAAGTAGAGGTCAGTGGTTCCAATTTGATGATAATACAGTAAAACTCGCGAGTGTAGAGGAGGTGTTGCAAAGTAAACGTAAAGCATATTTATGCTTCTACATGGCCGATACATTGGAATATGAACAACCTTAAAAGAAACAGGCGATTTTTTTTAATACGTAGGGGCTTCAACATTTTGCGCTAGAACGCTGATGAATGGTAGAATTTTTGGTGTCGGGAATTTGAAAACGAACATTAAATTTTTTAGAGAGCAAAAAGTCCAATGATGACTATCACTCTTACAAGGCATTTGGTTACCAAACAAAAAAAAAAAAAGTAATTATTACACTCGAGTGAACAAATTGATCATTAAAATTTTTTTTCTTTTCTGATCCGGTTAACAAATTATTTATTATTCTTTTTTCACTAAATTACCACGAATGTTACAAAGTTAGCATAATAGGTTTTATTGTTAAATTTCTTATCGATTCTATGATAGATTCTATGCGATGTGATAAAAAAGAAAAAGCGAACTTATATGATGATTGTTAAGTATGTATTTATGAAGTATCAGATGTTAACGTTTTAATATCAATGATGAGAAATGAAATAAAGTAATTTAAACATTTGATCAGAATATACGTCTTATTTTTCCATTGATTTACTTCTGGTTTCCCCATTCGCAAGTTCCATCTTCTTTAAGCACTCCGATACGGTGATAAAATGTTCTAGCTCTAACATAAGGATTTACCTCCAACTGAGCCTTCCTAAGCTGTTCCTTCAGTTGATCTCTTTCGTTCGTTATCTTTGTGTTATTCGGATCTTTGATCCATTGTTTGGTTAAACTTTCAAACTGAGGCTCCAAAGAAAGCCTGTATTCAATTTTCTGTTTCTTAGTAACCTCATCTTTCATACGATAATTCTCATTTTCTTCCGGAGGAACATAACAATATTTCCACTGATCTTCTCCACCCAAATCTGATATTAAATTTTCTGCGGGAATTAAATCCAGCAGTTCTTTATCATTTTGAGTAAAGCGAACTTTTGATGCCACAACGGGATCTAACAGGGGAGATATTAACTTCCATAAACCCCCAAATACCCATGGAGCCTTATGAATTATTAAGACTCCAAGACTCTCTGGGTAGTATGCTTCAAAGCATTGAATGATATACTTGACATAAGGGAAATCCTAAAATTTGTAGATTATTAAAAAACAACATCAAGGTTCAGGGAAAGTTAAATAATGATCAATTATTGAACGCGTACCATGTTAGAAAGACTAAACCCTTCCATGTTAAACACGAGACACCCAGTTTCTACAGGCGATTTAATCATCAAGCGTGTGGTCTCCATGATATAAATAGTGAATTTCTGAAGAACCTCAAAGGATTGTTCTTCCTTCTTGTGAAAGCGAACGTTTATATAACTTAAATATTACAAGAGAAATAAAGGTAAATTGCAGGATAAGGTAGACGATCAAAATCATAATTTTCTTACCATACTGGTCTTCCTTCTTTATCGGTCCCCCTGATAAAACTTTTACCACTTGTGAATTGAATCATAATCCCTTCCTTTTCACCCTTTTCATCAAAATATTTGAACAATCCCTCCTCCCCATCCTTAGTAATCTCTTGAACCCCTGTTTGCAACATCCATTTTAATGTAGATAGCAACATTGCGATCGCTTTTTCAATATCCCACTTCCTTGCACGAAGGAAACGTAGAACAATCACGTCGGGATCGTCGGCTCCAGATAAACTCCAAAAGGCCTGACGAATTTCTTCAGGACTATATAGTTTCATTGCTGATAAAAACTCGGCTGATTCATTATACTTGTCAGTACCGCCATTATTTGCATTATCGGAAGTTTGCTTTGGTTTTAACTTGCGTGCTAGATTATTATATACAGATGTGCCCTGGGCTGAATCTTGACCATTAGTCTTCTTTCCATTTTTAGTTGAAGTATTTGGTGGATTATCAGTTGCGTTTGGTGCATTTTGAGTTTCGAACAGAGTGAATACTGCTTCCCAACACATACGAAGCTGTTCAGCTTGCTCATTAGTCAGGGTGTTCACATGTCCAGACTTACGATCCTGTTGCTGTTGTCGCAAGGCAATGGCAGAACTCATTTTTTCAACTTAATTACCTCTTACAAGTATTTGGAGGAAGTTCTACGTGAAAAAGAATTTACTTATATAATTAAGTCAAAAAGGAATGTTTGATGTTGGAATAAGGGAATCAAGAGAAGTGAAAACAGGAAATTGTTGTTGATCTTCCTCATTGCGCATTTATTGTGCAGTGTTATTACATGAGCATCTACTTGTGTGGATCAGGAATGTTATCGGGCCGACCTAATCCGTCCAAAAGAAGTCATATTTATTTACTAAATTAATAGATATATTCGGGCGCGTAATTTTAAACGGTTCACAAATTTTTTTGAATGAATCAATAGTGTTGCAATCTTGATCCCAAAATTGTCACTATTTTTTTAATAATGAATAGCTCGAACCTCACTGTTCGAGCGTAAGAAGAAATTAAAACCCAAAAACCGATAGGATTTACATAGAACGAAAAAGACAATAATAAACTATAAACAGAGATTATTTGCTTGTTCGTCCAATAAACCTTTTGCATAGATATATTCTTTTACCTACAAAAATATTGTCATCGGACCGCGAATGGAAAACCAAAATCGTGATTAATACCTTGGTAACATTAACAAGTTGTAGAGCATAGTCAAATGCTCAAGTTACACAATATCTATATAAACTTAATTGAAGGAATTAACAATTTAAAAGTCCCAACTTCACGGTTGTCGGTTGTTTTTTCTTTGTAGGCGTTTTTTTTTTTTGCTTAAAATCATGCGGCTGCAGCATAGCACCCAGATAAATAAATACTTCCACTAGAATCATGTCCCAAACACTCCCTAACCAATAGTCGTTTCAACCGGTCACAACTAATCCTACAGCCAGCACTTGCCGCCTTTTCAAACCAATGTATGGCACCCTCCGGATCTGCTTCGCACCCGATCCCCTTTTCTAATGCGTTTGCCAGGTGAAACATCGCCGCAAGGTGATCTTGCTCGGCGGCTAAGCGGAAATAATGCAACGCGGATTCTTCATCCTTTTCACAACCAATACCTAACTGAAGACAGACACCTAGCTTGTCCTGTGCTCGAGCATGGTTCTGCGCGGCGGCAGCACTGTACCAACCGACCGCCGCCGATTCATCCTTTTCTACACCGATGCCATTGGCGTAGCAGAATCCAAGGTTACATTGTGCCCACGGATTTTGGGCATTAGCGGAAAGTCGATACCAGCAGACAGCCTTGCTTTCGTCTTTATCAACGCCGAGACCTTCTTCATAGCAATAACCCAATGAATTTTGTGCTAAAGCGTTACCCTGTTGAGCGGCAAGCGTGAACCATTTAACGGCCTCGTATTCATCTTTTTCTACACCAATGCCGTTACGGAAGCAATACCCAAGACTTAATTGGGCCGGTGCATGATTCTCCTCGGCTGACATAAAGTACCAATAAACAGCCTCGATTTCATTGACCGAAACCCCAATGCCATTTTGGTAGCAATATCCGAGTGAATGATAGGCAAAAATGTTCCCACGTTCGGCTGACTTTAAATACCAATTCACAGCCTCCACCTCATCCTTGGGAACACCGATACCATTCTGATAGCAGAAACCGAGGTTATGTTGTGCACGGGCGTGACCCTGAAGGGCAGCTTTTCGATACCAGTAAGAACCTTCTTCATCATCCTTAGGAACACCGATACCATTCTGATAACAATACCCTAGATTGCATTCCGCCCAAGGATAACCTTGTTCTGCTGATTTACGATACCACTTGGAAGCCTCAACAGGATCTTGTTCGACGCCAATGCCATCCTCGTAGCAATAACCCAAGGAATTTTGTGCAAACGCATTTCCCTGTTCGGCGGACAAGCGATACCACTTCACTGCTTCGATCACATCTTTCTCAACTCCAACTCCATCTTCGTAACAATAACCAACATTGTATATCGCAACGGACTCTCCTTGTTCGGCTGCCTTGCGATACCAATGCATTGCTTCTACCTCATCTTTTTGCACGCCAAACCCTTCGCCAAAGCAAAAACCCAATATCCCCTGACCACGTGGGTTACCTTGTTCTGCAGACTTCTTATACCACTTAAAAGATTCTGACTCATTCTTTTCCACACCAACGCCATCGTGATAACAAACACCCAATGAATATTGGGCAGCCGCATGATTCTCTATGCATGCTGCGTAAAATAACCATTCTATAGCAGATCTACCTTGTTCTTTAACTTTCTGTTGCCACATTTCAGCTTCGGCTCGGTCAATACGTACAGAAGGTCGTCCATATCTTCTCAAGAATGCCAACCTGGCCTGTGATAATCCATCGCCAGATTTTGCGGAGGGAATGTAGTTTAATTCGGCTTTTTTGAAATCCTTTTCGACACCCAACCCAAACTCATAACAAAAGGCCAGCAACCCCTGAGATTTGGTATGATTTAACAAGGAAGCACGTTGAAAGTACTCGAAGGCCTTTTTTTCATCCTTTGCTTCCCCATCTCGTCCAAACAGGAACGTTTCACCCTGTTTACACAAGTAGTCTGGATCTTGTATATTATTTTTATTACTACTATGACCATTGTTACCGGTATTTCCTCCGAAATTACATTTCCTGTTCAACTTGGAAACCAGTTTTTTCGATCGATGTAAGATGGACGCCGCGGTCGTAATTGGATGCACCGCCATTCTATAAATTATTCCAGGTTTACAGATCCAACCGAAATTTCAACGAACTGTGAAAGAACTACTCTGTCTTGAAAGCGCGAAAGATTATATATATGTACGCGAAATAAAATAAAAATTTTTTTTTTTCGTGTGACGTAACGTATTAAATGTGCAAACTACGGAACTACGGTTATATGATTTATACGTTTTCTATAAGATGGTCTATCGATAATCTATGAGAGTTATTCTAAGTGAGTTTGGCATAAGTGTGCGAGCATGTAAAATGCAAAAGCACAAATTGAATTATGACGCCAATTGTCTACTTTGGTTTTTTTTTTAAAAGTTGATAGGAGTACTGCTATTTGTGTTCTACCTTCAAGCTTAAAGAAGGCCACGTGGAGAAAGGGAAACTATAAGATGCGAGTAGAATAATTAATTCAATGTGAAATAGCGAAGTTCAATGGACAGTATTCCTATTTGTATGATGTGATGAAATTTCATATATTAATAGAAACTGTCATCTTTCTGTCGAAAGAACTTATTTGTTTTTATTTACAATTGACAAAAATAGTTACCTCTAAGGGTAATCTTAAGGCGATTAGTGTGGAAGGATCTTAATATTGGTAAAAGGTTTATAACGTCTTAAGGAAATTAAAAATAAACCAAGAGGGTCAGATGGTGTTTCCAAGAAAATGATGCAATTTAACTGCCTGAAACTTTGTCGTCAGCTCTTTACAGAAAGAGACCAAATGTCTGAGAAAAATAAAACGTAAAGAGTCTTTTTCAATTATTATAAGTCGGGAGAGTTCGTTATAATGGAAAAAAATTTTTTTTTTTTTAATGTTTATCGTTAAAAAATTTACGGTATCTCGTACGTAACCTTGTTATTTATATAATTATCGAACTCGAAATGGGGAGATTGCTGAAGAAAAAATTTATAAATTAGGCTTTCTTTATGTCAAACGTAAAAAGATTTCTGATTGGCTCTTCAAATTGGAAATCAAACAATGCTGATCGACATAAGACGCGGCCTGCACCTCTCATATGATTCACAGAAGGCAGCATAACTCTAAGTTCCTCGTTGTAAGTGAACTGTCGTTCAGAAAGCAGTATCATGCCTTCCGCTAACCCCTATGATTTAGATCCAGAGGTTCGAGCAGTTTTAAAAATCGAAACATTTCAGGTTCGAGAATCTTTTATCAGACTTTCTTTTTGTTTGCTCACGTAATCAGCGACTCTGGTTTCGAAGATCCGAACTGAAATCCCTTTAACAATTTTAGGGAAAATTTACCACCCGGGATTTTGTGGAGAACACGACAAAAAATTTACTAAAACATGCCAATCCCAAAGGTGGTTTGTTGGTTCCATAGCATGTTTGACAATTAATGTTAAATAATAGTCTTTAGTCGCATTAACACCATTCATTACAACAGCGTTTGATCCGAAGCCATTCATAAGGACCTTTGAAAGATCTATTGATGAACTTCTTAAATTACGTGAAACAGTAACGGAACAAAGCAAAGACTTGGAAGCAAGTGTACAATTAACCGAGGCGGGCTATCGTAAAAAGTTGCACGAATTGAAAATCACTTTTGAGGTATGAATTCTATGTTTTAATGTGATAAATTGACAAGTTTCAAAATTTTCGAAACTTGGTTAAAACTTCTCGGATCATTTACACAGGATGTGGTACATTCATTTGAAACTTTGGAAACCAGAATTAACGAAGTTGGCAACACGGCCATTAGAATTGGTAAGTTAAGGAACTATCGTTTGTTTACATTAAGCTTATCAAAGAGTCGATTTATCAATGTTCATTTTGTCTTTGTTAAAAGGTGAACAGTTGGAGACCATCGACAGACAGAGACTTCGGGCTTCGGAATCTAAAGATTTGATTGAATACTTCATGGCATTTAATAGAGGAGATATAGCAAGGCTAGAAAATATGCGAACAAAAGATAAAGATGGTCAATTCAAGGTTGAGATTTTTTTTTCTAAAAAGAATTCATTTTTCGGAATTCTTTGAATAATAATCAAGCTATTCCTTTGCAGGCTGCAATTATCGCTAGAAGACTAAATACCATTGCCAAAGAAGTAGATATTCCTGGTGCCGGAGATGTATGCCTTTAAATTATGATAATAATTTTATTTTTCATTATTAATGTTTGACGATGATTTGATTTTATGGCACCTATGTAAAGGCTAGAGCGCGTATCGAAAAGTACTGTGAAGTTTTGGAAAAAGAATTACTCGAACAATTTGATAAAGCATATAGACAAAAGGATGTTCTAACAATGAAGGTTTGTATAATTCGTTGAATTCTAACAACGATTTTTTTTAGACTAATTAATTTGAAGTAACTTTACAGAGCTGCGCAAAAACTCTCCAAGAATTTAATGGTTGTGAGTCTTGCATCAAGCTATATGTAAACCAGCACGAATTCTTTATTTCAAAAATAAATCTCAGCCAATCAAACGAGTTCTTGACCAGTTCAAGGTGAACGCAATGTTTATCCAATTGACCCTAGGATTATTTTGAGGCATTAATGATGACCTAGTATTTATACATCATCAGTTGGAACGATTTGCCAAATCCACAGGTTCCACCACCTCCTGTCGATCAAGGACTTATAAGTCTTTATGAGGAAATTAGAACGACAGTGAGGCAAGAATCTGAAATTATAAATGTCGTCTTCCCTAATCCGATCAGCGTCATGCAAGTCTTCCTGCAACGTATTTTCGCTCAACTCGTACGTAGGATGTTCAAATATTATGATCTTTTTTGATGCAACCTTAAAAATTTGCTGTTTCATTATTTAATAGATCCAGACTTATCTTGAGAGTCTTTTAACGCATGCTGAAAATAACTCTACACTAGCATATTTACGTTCATTGGCGGCAGTGCACGTTGCCACGAAGCTACTTGCTGAGGACCTAAAGAGCCTTGACATTCGTCAAAAAGATTCCTCCGATCATAATTCATTTGACACTCATGAAGAAAGTTCTCACAAAAAGAATAATAGCATCGCAGAAGTTTTGGAGCAATGCATTGAAGATTTATTTGTTCCATATACGGAAGGTGATCGATATATCGAAAAAGAAAGGAAATCTTTGAGTGAACTTTATTCTTCGTTATTATTGAAGTTTACAGCTTATCATGTAGGTATTGATTAAATTTCCGGAAGTGGTTGTTGACATCGCTCTTTTAACATACAAAATTTTCGCAGACCCAACAAAAGCAGGCACGGGCCACAAGTTTGATTCAACGTGCAGTGAATCAAATAACATCTTCTACTCCGAGTTTTATAGGCGGAACAAACTTACTTGACATTCCCACCACAGAAGATGACGGAAATCTTTCGATCAGTGTTTCTATGCTGATCCTCAAAATACACGCCGAATCTATAAGGAGATCCGTGCAGCTTAGCCCTCCTTCAGAGCTGTACGTAAAAAAATGTTTCTATTGTTAAAACACGTGACGATTCCTTCTATCATTAATGATATATTTTCGATAAAGAACCAAATTTGTTAGAGTGTTATTTCATACATTCCTGGAATTCATAGGAAAGCAATACGTGGAGTTGGCCCTGGATACGTAAGATTATATATTTAATATACTCACAATTTGTGCTCATCTTAAAATTATCATTTAGTTAATCATCAACACTTTTAAAGTTGCTTAGATCAAATTGCGACGATAGATCCAAAATCCGAGCCTGATTTCAAACCTTTTTCTGTGATCAAGAATTCGCATAGCATCATTCATCTATCTCAAAATCATTTCCAGGCAGCAATCGTAAGGGAAATCTCAAGTTTTTCGGAATCTCTGCTTCCATGATATTTATCAAACTTTTGAATGTCTTTTATATAGCTCCCCCTGGCCTCGTCATCTTTGCCAATACATCGTGATCTTACGTTCGATAAAAATAGATTCATGATGGGTGTTGAAAATAAGATGAATCTAGCTGTTCAGAGAACGATCGAAGGTAGGTGATTGTGGATTTTGCAATTTATCTATACATATGAAAATACTTATTTAATTCTGCTATCATATTGTATTAGCCATCATCGCTAGACTGAACCATTTGCTATCACGCCAAAAAAAAGTTGACTTTCGACCCAAAGATGAAGATGACAACATTGCGAATATAGCAACTGCGGTAAATATTATAAAATTTCTTTATAAAGTTCATGTTATAAGTCTGCTTCTTATACAAAGTGCGATCTATTGTAGCCTTGCAATGCTTGCGTCGAGTGTTTGAAGAAAGTTCAAACAAATGCATCTCAATTACTTGATGGGAAGAATTTGGAACATTTCTTAACTGAAATAGGAATCGCATTTCACAGGTATCCTGTCGATCATACTATCTTAATTTTTAGTTTCTTGTAACTGATTGATTAATTGCTTTCGACAGCATGTTACTCGATCATTTTAAAAAGTTTAATGTGAACGCTGCTGGTGGCTTGGTTCTTAGAAAGTGAGTTCACTTTTCATTCAATTTTTTATTTTAGAAATGACTAGTTGGTTTCAATATTTTTCTCTTTTTTTTTTTAAGGGACATCGCAAAATACCAAGAAACTATTTCTTCGTTCAAAATTCCTCAATTAGATGAGCGTTTTGAAATGCTGATACAACTGGGAAATCTCTTTGTCGTAAAACCAGAAATCCTTAAATCTGTACTTAATGATGGATATCTTGCCAAGTTGGATATTAAATATATTCTTCCATATCTGCAAGTTCGTACAGATTTTAAGTCAGCGGGGATTGACACGCTCCTCGGTGCGACAGCAGAAACTGGAACTGGGGAAAGAAACTTCAACGAGAAAGCTAAAGCAAGACTTGCGGCGATGGGACTTAGTATTGGACCTGCGAGTGGAAGGAAATGGATGACATTAACTGAATAGGATATGAACCGTTGATTCCATTTGTATTGTTGATTCTACTTTACTACTGTACATCATTTCTTTCTTTATTGGGCTATCCATTTGTATTGCTGATTATGCTTTGAGTTTAGTGAAAATTTGATGTTTCGTAATTTATAGATTATTTACTAATGATAGATTATTAATATATTTGATTTCCTATTTGTTTTAATACACGATAATATGATCAAATTGTGTATGCATCGTATGGTAGAAGCTCGGTTAAATTAAAAAAGATAGTAATAAATATATCGATATAGTACAATACCAAAATATAATTGAATTGAGTTAATGTAATAAAACTAGTAGCTTCAATTCATAATCTTAGTTGGATATTCAAACACGTGGAATAATACACATATACACTTTCTAAGGAAGCAATGTTACATCGACACTCTTTAAGGCATTGACAGCCCATTCAGGGTATCGGTCCGGACCACCAAATAGATCCTTGAATGATTTTTGTATAAATTGTGGAAACCTATTTTCAGCAATAGCATTTCTGATATTACGCATTAATCTTAATTGATATGAAACATTATGAATAGTGATAAGATGACATCCAACAGTTTCTCGCGTAGATTGCAGATGAACATATGCTCTGGTGAAAGATTTACAAGTTAAACAGTCACAATCTTCCTCGATAGGTCTAAAATCTTGAGAAAATTTACTGGTTTTCAAATTCAGCGTTCCAGTTGATGTCAGCGCATTTCCAAAACGCTAAATAGATGATTCTGTCTAGAATCAGCATAAAATCACGAAAAAACACGAACATAGTCACAAATACTTATGAGGATACTAACCGCTGTGCGCGTTGGAAAAACGCAGTCAAACATATCAATTCCCAACGCCGAACATACAATCAAATCTTCAGTATATCCAACCCCCATACAATATATCGGTTTATGATCTGGCAACAAGTCAGTACATAAAGTTACACTGAAGACAGAAACAGGATGATTATCATTATTGTAACCACTATATAGAAGCATAATTCTGATCGGAAGAGTAAAAGACCTACATCCTCCAGAAAATGTCCTTTTCTTCACCACCACTTAGACCACCGATAGCATATCCAGGTGTGTCGCGCTTCACCATCTCTTATATTTAAAGAATCTTTTTAGTTTAATATTCAGAAAAAAGTCACAAAACATAAATACACAATACCTTCCACACACTTTCTCCTTAGGTCAGGGTCCAACCCGCCTTGTATAATAGCAAATAGATTTTGACTATCCGGCTTTTTATGCGCAGCTATACACCGATCCAACCATCTAATTGATCTATCTGTAGCCTCTTCCACCCTTGGCCCTTTCGTCAATGATGACACCACGTCATCCAACTGCATTATTATGTCTGCACCAATAGAATTTTGCAGGGAAATCGAATGCTCGGGAGTGAGCAGCATTGTTGATCCATCCTCATGAGGCGACTGAAAGTTCACTCCCTCTTCTGTGATACAAGCTAATTTCAACAAGGAAACCATCTGAAAACCTCCACTATCCTATTATTGGAATTGGTTTTTTGAGCAGTAATCTCATTGGAAACCATAAATTTAAAGAAGCAATAATTACTTCTTACAGTCAATAAATTTCTATTCCAATTCTGAAACTTATGCGAGCCTCCGACTTCTTCAAGTAATTCTTGGCCTGGTCGTAAACCCTACGATAATAAAAACCAAGCCTTCAAGAATTAAATACCAATTGACCGTAAAGATCTGGTATAAATTACAAATTTTTCCCCCCATTCTTCGAAACCAACGCGGACATTAAAGTTAAGAAATTACCAAATGGTAAGTATTATTTAACATGATTTGACACCCCAACTCTTCCAACTGCTTTGGAGTTAAACCCTTCAAAGTTCCCTGAGTCCCAACCGGCATGAATACAGGTGTATCGACATTTCCGTGAGGCAAAGTCAATAATGCGACGCGTGCTTTTGTAGTTGAACATCGAGCTATAACTTTCCATACTAAAGCTGACTTCATTTCGATATCTAAAAACGTATTCTATCACATGATTTTTATTTATTTGTAGTTAGTTCATCGATCACGTGCAAAATTTATCTGATAATAGGATCTGGTTCAAATTCAGAAAAGAAAAAAAAAAATTCACAATGTCTGACGACGTGATCTGGCAGGTCATTAACCAACAGTTCTGCTCTTATAAAGTGAAGTAAGCATCAGATCCCATGGCCTGAAAAATTTCTCGGCGTATGCAATCCTTGACTATATCGCTTTTACAGAACGACAACACAGAATTTCTGCCGAAATGAGTATAATGTTACGGGATTTTG